AAACAACCAACAGCTTTAAAATATCTGCTTATTAAGTATCAAAATAGTCAGAAGCAAAATGGATCGAAATGCACAAATGACAATCCCTGAACTTGACCTCTTGAACTTTATTGGTTTCCTAAGAGGTCCGCCAGTGTAAAATATACTACTGTACTAGATAGTCAGGTCTCTTAGTGCAAAATATAGGCCGGATCGTTACAGACGTGAAAAAAGTCTCAAATTTGGCACAGAGCTTCCTTAGCACCTGCCGATTAATACTGAAGGGGGTGCCCATTACAAATGATCCTAATTCCAGATAACAGGGGGGGTTAACTTTCACCTATAATAGCAGATTGGGTGCCCTGTGGTGAATACTCTTCTTGTTTGATTTGGCTAAAAAACATTTGTTTCAAATTTTTAAGTTTTTAATTTGGTAATGTTTAGTTGTTGTTACACTATTCAAAACAGTTTTACATGTACATAATAGTGACTAGTGCCCAGTCTCCACACGGTAAGTGTTGCCATGTTCACCGTGCGGCTATCAGTGTCACTGCTAAGACTTGCCACTGATAATATCATTACATATCAATTTCAACAGATCACAAAGCCAGCTTTCAAAGATGTCATACACTAACATAAAACCCAAATGTATCACATCCTAAATGATAGAATCGTTAAATTTTGACACGCTACATGGACGACCTCATGAACCGTAACTGACAACGCGCCCACTTTGTAATTGTGCAGCTAAGATTAGATTATAATTTGCTTCGCTGGTAACCCTGTCCTTGAGATAATGATTAAAACATGTCAACCTCGTCCTAAGGGGGAAAAGGAGGAGCAAGGGTAGCACAGTTGATTAGTGCGCAGCCTTCGGTGCGCGAGGTCCCGAGTTCGATCCCTGGTGTCAACATATCCTTATTTCAACTTCTCTCCTTTCTGTGTAGCTTTAACTGCTTTAAATACCCTTAAAACGGAGCATTAATGGAGAGAGGGAGGTAAAAGGAGCGCACCGTTGACCTCAAGTTTATCAGTTATTATTACTGTCACGAGTTATTGACGTAAAATATGGTCGCTTTACCTTTTTCTACCTTTTTATTAAGCCCTGGGGACGAGGTTGTAAAACATGCCTCTCCAGGAATTTTTAACACTCTTTATTTTTTACACATTTGCATTTAAAAAGAAGTGTATGAGGTCCCTGCATGCCTAGACACCTGTAAGGAGCTCATTCACTTCAGAGCGCTCGGACCAGAGTGTTAATGGTAGGTCTACACGATCTTTCAAAAACAAGGAAGGTCGTCGCATACGTTACAATTTACAAACTAACTTCAGAAGAGCTGAAAGTTACTGGAACAAGGCCTCTTTTAGCCAACCAATGATGCATCATTTATGAAAGTGAATGTAATTTGTTTGATGCAATTAGGCGAACCCCGTGGTTACGAAATCTTATGATTATGAATTCCTCAAGAGCAATTCAGTTACCAACGTTTCACAAAATAATGCTGTGGAAAATTACAGAAAATACCAAAAAAAGCAAGGGTCAACAATAATTATGGCCTGGTCCCTTATAATAATGGAGTGGTCATGATAAAGAAGCCCATCAGCCTAAACTTTGACCACTCAAACAGATTTCTGACGGATTACATACCGCAAAACTATGCATTTACTTACGCCTATGTCGCCACACCAGGAGCCTAGAAATCGGCTCCTGGTCACACCTTGTTTTTATTGCTGAATATCATTCTAAAGAGTTTTACGAAATATTTTGTTAGTTGGCGGGGGTATTTTGAACATGATTGAAATTTAGAGATGGTGACAAAAAACGAACACAAAAAAGTCACAAAACGAAACGCATGAAACAACCGCAATTTAATATTCGTGTTACACCGATATAATGGCTCCTTTAGCTGCTATGCTGACGTTTTTGAAGATGGAAGTAGTATCACAGCTAGTCCCGGGTTAGGTATACCGTTTATTACCAGTTTCATGGTTCCTGAGACTTAGGGCCTGTTAACGTAAAGTTGGGGGACCCCAGGTAGGTGAGGTAACCTGCTTAGGTGGGGTAAAAAATACGTAACCCTTCTTTACATTCAATCTTACAACCCCGCCATCCTGGGGTGCACTTTCTCAAGATTATTAAATGGTCGCTACGCACGTAAACAAGAATAATGTTGGCAAACCACGTCTATGCTCACTTGCTGCACTTGCTGCAACACTCAGTGTTGTGGCTTTCTATTGTTACCTTTAATAATTATGTGAAGCCACACAGCGCCAAAGTGAATTTTGCGTGAATTTGATGTATCCCGAATCCGACCCCGACTAGCCTGAGTTACCTCACCTTGAAACGTTGACATGGCAAAATTTGATCTCAGCTGAGAGGGTTACCCGGTGTGGCAGACCGGGCTACCCACGTTGAAGGGTCACCCCACCTATCATGTAAACGTGATCAAATTAAAATGAGAGATTATATGGACAGGCAGGTACGGGTTACCCCACCTAAGTGGGTTACCGTTCCTACCTGGGGTCCCCCTCCTGCATGATGTAAACAGGCCCTAAAAGTTAGCCCGGCCCTATTTCTACAGTTTCAGCAGTTAAACCATTCACCATTTGTCATTTGAGTCGATCTTGTAGCACTTGAGTCTCACTTTTACGACTTGATAAGCTGTTATTATTTTTGGACATGAGCTGAGTGCTTCAGTGCCAAATGTAGAAGTTTCATGATAAACTGTGCTGTTTTTTTAATCTTGGGCTAACTTGTTTCTTTTTTTCGTTTATAAGACCAGATTCTTTTTTGTTTGTTTTTGCTTTGTAAAGCTTAGAAAAACTGTGAGAATTGTAAATGATATGACTTGTGCTACGGTGCTGCTTCTCTGTCAAAACATGCACGTTCGTCCCGCAGATAAAGAGAGACTGAAAGGCATCCTGGCATATGTTAAACTGAAAAATTAATTACCTCCTTAGGAAAGAACTATTTTGGGTTCCGTCATTTCGTTATTTGCTCTTCATGAACAGCTGTCATAAATCCCTGATAATATGTGATACAACAGACTCTTTGACAATTTCTTTTTTTCTGAAATTTTGTGTGTGAATCGCTATGCCATACACTTTCTTTAGCTTAAAATGGCATGTAATGACAAGTAAATTACGAGATAAATAAGGCTTAAGCCTCACAATAAGGCCTCCTCTAATTGAAATACATTAGAAAAGGAGAAGAGAACCCCAGAAGCTGAGTACTTGCAGGTTATGGAGCAAAGACGCAGCCATCTTAGAAATGACTTATGAAAATGTGGGCGGACTGTGAACTTGCTTTAAGGGCACAGTAATAATCAACTTAATTATACAATGAATAAGCTAAAAATGACTGGGAATGCCAGAGGTTCAAGTGAAATTGTTGCTTACAACATGAGAAGAGCATTCTGAGTGATTTAAGATATTAAATAACAATTTTCAATAAAAACACCACAGGGACCCCAGCAGGTGAAATTTACAATAATTAAATCCCGTTTAGCACGCTTCAGTGGCATATTTGCATTGGGCACCCCCTCTAATATTCATGATACTGCAATAAGCTATAGCTGTGCAAAGTTTGGTGCTTTTGTCAACTCTGTAACGATCCTGACCTTAAGAGACCTGACTAAGAGTAAAACTTAGGTTTTTGCGCGTTTATATTGAAAGTCTTAGAATGTCTTCGCAAGAGCCGCCGAATAAGAAACCCAAACAAGTCGAAAATAAGCAGGGAACACTTCTATCGTGGGTAAAACGATGCACTGGTGACACAGAGCCTAGTGTAGTCTAAGAAACAATCCGAATCAAACAACAACCTGGAGATGAAAATAATTTGGAGCCATCCACAACAATAGCTGGCAAGTATGCTTTAACCGAGGGACCAAAGTTGGGGGTTAATGTGGGCCACTCACTCAGCCCCCCCCAGTCATTTTATTCTTGCTACGGGCCTGTTTTCCTGGGTAGTCGTTGTAATCTGTGGTGGGCAGAATATTAACCTCTCCACAAACTTACTTATTTTGTGCTTTTCCTGGGTAGTCGTTATAATCTGCAGTGGGCAGAATATTAACCCCTCCACAAACTTACTTATTTTCTGCTTTTCCTAGGTAGTTGTTGTAATCTGTAGTGAGCAGAATATTAACCCCTTCACAAACTTACTTATTTTCTGCTTTTCCTAGGTAGTCTTTGTAATCTGTGAATATTAACCTCTCCACTTTGCTGAGCTGTTGTCATCTGTGGGCGAAATATTAACCTTCCCAAACACTTGTTTTCTGCCTTACCAGGGTCGTTAGCTCTTGTTAGCTGTTGTTATTCGTCGGAAGACTGTTAACCTCTTTCACGCGCTAACTGAGCATGCAAGCATTTCAAAAGTATCATGCATTTTATTTGATATTTCGCTCTGGCTTCTTGATTGCATTTTATTCTATTTTGAGAAAGAAATTTAGACCTCTCGCGACTAACTGAACGTTTTAGTTCGGCAGTGATTTCAACTTTATGAATACAAGGTACATGGATCAGTTTTGTTAACTTTTCTCCTCTTAATGCAGTGTGCAGTATTCCTTGTTTATGATTTTGGAAAAGAACTGTCAGGCACGCAAGCATGGCATGTCTGGAAATACGTGGAAATATTTATCTTTTCCCTTCATCACGCCGGAAAATGCCTAATCGCAGGGATTATAAGCGACGCCTTGTGTGCGAGCTAAGTTCTTATATTACCGAGGTAATAGAATAGGCCTAAATTTTGGACGCCTAAGCTCGTCATGCAATGTGTTTTAAGGGAAACAATATGGAATATCTGACGGCAACTAGCATGTTACGTGTTGGAGGGCAGTGGACAAAAATTCATTCGCATAAAACCGGAAAACGAATTAGAAAGAGGGCCATTTCCATCTGTCCATCCCTCTTCGATTTTGGTGGATCACCGCCATGATTTAAGTTTCTCGAGAGTTTTTCGCGCTTAGTTAGTTTTGATCTAAGTAGTAGTTACAATAAAAAAACAAATGGAATAGGTAAATCATATACTGAGTTATGGAATTTAATATACAGACATGGAAACAGAGTTCATACATTGTTTACAACAGCCTTGTTTTAAAGATATGCCATATTACAAGTTTCGAAGAGCTTCGCGACAGCAGGAGTATCATGGGCAAATGTTTTCCCGCCAAAAATTACGAGCTGCCATTTCCCGCTTCCCGCTTCCCGGGTTTGGGAATCCGCTGAACAAATAAATGACCGTTTATTATCGCTTCCTAACGACATACCCAAAGAATACTGGCACAACCTGAATCCAGTTCAGATGCGGGTCGTTTCCTTCTAATGGATTTTAATTTTCAAAGTGAATAATAATGATAATTCAGTAGATAAGAGTCAAGAAGACTCATTTCCGAGGCAGGGTTAATCAGAACTGCCGATTGGTTGGGGTGGAGTTGTTTTGACTATTATTCGTTTGAAACTGCTGCTGCAGGAACCGTCCCACGTGACCAGTCTGCTGTCCGCTGGAGGACTGGGCCTGTTGGTTGCCCTGTCCTTGAAATGCAAATGACTGTTGCTTTTGCTAAAATGAAACAAGACAACGGAAACATTTGAGAACATGATCGAAAAAAAAAATAGCGATGATTGACATATCTGATTAACGTAATGTAATACTCATGAATATACCAGTTGTTTCATCATATAAGGCCAAGCGAACGCGCGAAGTGTGCCTAGGACTTGTCTGGCACAAATTGCTATAACTACATAATACAGACTGTAAAATGTAAATACAGTCGACTCCCGATAACTCGAACCTGCAAGGGAAATCGAAGAAAGCTCGAGTTAGCGGGAGTTCGAGTTATCGGGAGCTCGAAGAAAATGGCCGAGAGTAAGGTAGAAAACAGTTTTTACTGCACAGTGAACATTTTAATCACATTTAACTGTAGAAATGTCAAGTACAACTTAAAAGATACTTCTAGATTATAAATTAGAACGTAATGTAACAAAACATAGCCTAAATAGAGCATGCGTTTAACTGTTTTGAGAAGTAAAGCTGCTTCACGTTAGCCTGTGACAATCAACATCAGCCTCCATTAGTAAACTATACTCCTACAACACGTTAATAGGAAATCCAAAATTCAATGTTTCGGACGCCCGTAGACGGCTTTTTTCCCGACCTTTTAAGGGCTCAAAACATGGTTCGAGTTATCGAGGGTAAAATTATATAGAAAATGACCTGAGGGGAAACGAAAATTGGTTCGAGTTAGCGGGAGTTCGATGAGTTATCGAGGGTTCGAGTTACCGAGGGTAAAATTACAGTAAATGTACGACGGAAATCCAGGGGAAATCGATTTCGGTTCGAGTTATCGGGAGTCGACTGTACTGTACTTCAAAAAAGGTCTAAACGAAATACGAAATATGGTAGGTTTCAGTTGATTTTCAACCTCCCAATTAATAGCTTCGAGAGGGATCTCAAATGCCATAATAAGGATCGAGGTTAACTTGTTAGAATTAATAACACTTTCTAACTCGGACCTCTTTCTACAAAGCGGACAGGGAAAAACAATTCCAACTGTTAGAAATTAAATTGACATTTTGATCTTATTTCGAAACAATTTAGCTAGGTCAAGGTGTTCCTAAAGACAGTGGCAATAACAAGCACTTTTTACTGTATCTCCTCCTAAGTCGAAAAAAAAAGCTTAAGTTGCTTAAAAATAGTCTACGAAAACACCCTACTCTACTCCTCGCTCCTCGCCACTTTATCCCTAACGGTGAGAAGCGAGGAGAGAAGGCTGCGTGGAGATGGTTGTTTTCGTGGGCTACGAGAAAGTTTATTGGTGAGAAATTATTGCGGGCGACAAGAGGGGCCCGTAATCCTAATACTCCAAGTAGTTATTACGCATGCGTCGCATGTATGTAGTTAACTTGGAATGAATGGAATGCACAAAACGCACTATGATCACGCGCGTTTGGACCTTCTATCACTCGTAATCTGATCACGCGTGTTTTAGCATCTGTCGCGTGAAACGTGTGCAAAGCACAGCGCTGGAGCGTTTTGACCCTCGATCGTTGTCGCCCGCACGCTGTAACCTCTGGTTATCACTTGTCTGTTAGTTGTTAGTCATTAACCGTAAGCAGAAAATTCGGTTTGTTAATGTTCTTGATACCAGGGGGGACATACACAGTAGTCCTTAGCGTTTTCCGGGGGGTCAAGAGATGTCGACTGGCCCTGATAGACACACAATACTTTACCTGAAACTGCTCAGCAGTCACGACACGAACTCGTTTAGCACTCGGCTGACCATTAGTGTCCGAGTTCTCTTGCTTGTTAGTCTGTAAGTGTTAAAATGTTGGCCTTTCTCAGCGAGATAACCACACTTTGATTCGTACGTACTGTGTACCTCGTCTAATATTGGCCTGCTTCCTATCAACTACTTGACCGTTAGTGAACGTTAGCGCCGCTGATAAATTATTTGCTTCCCGAGTGAGCTTTCTAAGGTGACAAAATAGTCCGGTTTCACAGTGTGTGCTTCTAGAATACGCCTTTGGTCATGAACGAAGGGGTTACTTAAAAGACAAACTGTTATGATTAGTTGATGAACTAATTAGGCCACTGCTGGTTGATCTAAAAGCCCTTTACTGTGAGCTCCAATCATAATTCAAAGGATCCGAAGAGTTTAGCTCACTAATGGATATAGTCTGCTTTCAATAACGAGAGATCAGACAGCTTTAGATATCTCTCTGCGGCGGCCAGTTTACTCTGTTATTTTAACTGATTTAAAATATGTATATATATTTCTTTCATGCACCAAACAACAAGCAAGCACCCATCAAATAAAGCCCCTTTGAATGGGCTTACATGCGTTCTTGTACTCTGGACCAGCTCAAGGGCGTGCCTTTATTGAACCAGCAGTGGTAAAAACTTTACCCTTGTATTATATAACAAGGGGTCGGCCCACCATCATCTGACTATCCTTTCCGTACAACAGAGACATTTAGCCAGTATAGTCAAACAGTTAGTTGGTTCAATATTGGACAAAATAATGATTATGATAATTACCTTCGCGGCACTGGATTTTGAATCACTATCATCATCATTAAGGAATTCTCTTTTAGGATATGGAATCGTCATTCCTCCAAACGCACTAGAATCACAAAAATCAAGCGGTTATATTGCATCCATGCATGACAATTTGTAAATGTGTATTTAACAATTATTCCTCGAGCCCGAATGGGCTCTGAGTCAATAGCCCATGAGGCCGAAGGCTGAACGGGCTATTGACTCAGAGGCCATGAGGGCGAGAGGAATAATTGTTTTAGTAAAATCCAACTAGTTGGTAAAAAATATCGACACAAAACAACTTATGCTAGCAAAACGCGATTCAGCCGCCATTATTTTGGTTTTCAAAGCCGGCGCTTTTCGCTTCTAGTGGGCTATAACATATAGCCTAGTAGTAGCTCAACTAATCAGAACGCAGCATTGATAATAGACCGCTAGTTGGATTTTACTAATACTACATATGTATAGCGTAGATAAAGCCTCGAGTGTTACAGTCAGCTCTCTTAAGACAAACATCTTTGGAACCGGCACTATGTGTCCGTAATTATTATATGAAAATAGACCATCGCAGTTGCAGACGCAACTTTTGCAGTTGCGAAAAGAAAGCCCGAAAAAAAATTCAGGCTTGTATGGGATTCGAACCCTTGACCTCTGCGATACCGGTGCAACATTCTTTCACGGGTTTATAACGAACAAACTCAACGACCTGCTCCCAGTTGGCTTATTACCTCAATTGGTAAGAGCACTGCACCGGTAACGCAGAGGTCAAGGGCTCGAATCCCGTAAAATCATATTTTTTTTTCAGGCTTTCTTTTCTCAGCTGCAAAAGTGGCGTCTATAACTCCAATGATCTACTTTCATGTAATGATTATTCACCCCGCAGCTCACATATACGATTTTCATATATTCATAACTCCACTGAGTGTCTGTCTTAGAGAGATGTCCGTCTTATAGAGAGTCAAATGAAGGGGAGTAAGGAATAAGACAGGGACAAACTCTAGGTGTCTGTTTTACAGAGGTGTCCGTTAAGAGAGAGTCGACTGTCCATTACGTTCTGAGATCGCTTCTTAAAGAAAGTGCATTTTGAGAAACAAATCTAACGTCGACATTAAGGCATTCATAGCAAGGGTGTTTAACTTAAAGCCAATAACCGACTGCTCTTTTTAATTGTAGAAATATAATATACAGAGATTGTCACTGGTACTTCACCCGCCCTTACATATCGCAACATTTACGGTGGACTACTAAAACCGGGGCAATTGAAAGAAGATAATCCAATAACAGCGTTTTTGAAACCAAAAGATTCCCAAGTTTTTTTTTCTTTGGCAAACGGACCAATGAAATTCAAGGTTCAACTACGCAACCGTTTGAAGCTTTAAAACAGTTTGAACTTACCTGACCGCTCAGGAAATAGCCCTTAAATTTATGAATGTTATTAGTCCGTTTGCAAAACAAAAAAAAAATTGAGAATCTTTTGTTTCCAAAAAACCTTGAATTTGATAATCTTTTTCTAAGTGCCCCGGTTCAAGTAGTTGCACTGCAAAAGCTTTACTGCCATTTTACACCTACGATTTCGTTCGCTGCTCACGACACTGCCCTTGAGACGAAAGTGGCTCTAAAACGCGAAGACAGTATAGCAACAAACTCGTCTGTAAGTGTAACTTAGGCTACAAGATAGAAAGATTTATTCAGTACTTACTCAGGTGTCGGTAGAGGCTCTTCTTTAAAGTAAGGATCTTGTAAAGCTTGTTCCGACGTTATCCTTTTATTTGGGTCCATTACCAACAACCTGGATAGCTTTAAATATAATAAACGTTATACTTTACAGTCAGTGGAGCTAAAAACTAACCACGTTCTTCCTTTACTAGATATCATCAACAACATCGACCTACACGTCACCGTAACTAATAGCAACAACCTCTCAAGAACAAACAAATAACTTAAGTTTGTTTTCTAGGCTAGAACTTTCGGATCATTATACTGTTTCTGGGAAACTGTCCACCTGCCCCTCGCCTAAGCCAACATTTTACCTTAAGTGGGAAGTAACTGTTAATGTTGGCTCAGGGGAGGAAGGTTTGCAGTTTCCCAGAAACGTATGACGATACAAACTTTCTAGAACTCGTAAGTGACAGTAGTTCTGAGGGATTTGCACAGTTTCTCACTTCTCAGCGCGGTGACCAGGGTTGTCAAGAGTAGCCGGCTGCGGGCGAAAGTCGCCGCCTACTTGGTTAGTATCGGCCGGCTACTTTGCTCGGCATTCCTTTACAACAACAACATATCCCTGGGCAGGCCGCTTACTTTGACAACTCAGCCGTCTATTCCAAACCTTTTTAGACAACCCATTTAAGTTGTAGTATAGAGTGAGTGCTGCACTCACTCTATATTATAACTTTAATACTTAATTTCGCTTCATGCCAGTGCTAAGCGGGTCACGCACTCTCATAATCCGCTTATTAAGACAGCAATAAAAAACAAGCGAACTCGACTTCACACCTGTTTGTGTTTCATCTGAGGCTATGTTCACCTGCCCACCTACCCCTCCGCTTAGGGGACGGGTAGGTGGGCAGTTTCCCAGAAACGTATAATGATCAAAAGGTATCCGGTATAGTATGGAGAGCAATGACACAGAACTGGAACAAGTCGTTCACACACATCGAACATCGTGCCATGGTTGGCCGAGAGGGTTTGGTGCACTAAATTCCAGTCCTCACTCCTGAATAATTACTTTCGTCTCAGTGGGTTCCAGTCCTCGCTCCCAATTATTCACTTCCGCTACGGTCCAAATACCTAGCAAAGAGGTTTTTGAGCGACGCACGCCAACCGGAAGTTAGGCCTTCTCCTTTTTTATATGCCTTAACGCTAACAAATTTGTATTGCTGAGTGTCTTTTCTCTTATACAGGCAAATTACCCGAGAACTTGAAACAAACCACTGCCCAATGATGCAAAAAGTCCACTTCCGCTCAAAAACGCTGCCGCTTTTATTTGCGGTCCTTTAATTTGGCGATTCAAAAGATTTGGAAGAATACAGGGGGAATTTTGCTGGGACACATTACTGGAGCGGCAGCTAAATTTTGTGATATACCCAATTAAATTGTATAGCCACAAACATCACAGAATTGAGTCGTCGAGCATAATAGTAACCTTCAGGCAGGTTGTGAGATTCTCTGTGATACTTTCTTTTTTATAGTTTATGTAAAAATATAGATCTTACCAACTGAAATGCTTTACTATCCTGTTTCACTTTGTGCTTCTCCATGTATTTCCATAAACTAGCATTTACGTAACTAAAAGGCAATAAATACAACTATTGTGATAAATGTATTCTAAATTGTGCCTTTTTACATCAAAAGCAGACTTTCTTAAAACCTCTCGCAAACCCAGCCCGACATTTAGGGGACTCCCCGAGATATGCAAATAATTTTTCTTTCATGAGAGGACATATGTCGGGTTAGGTCACCAGTTTTGTCGGACAAAACAATAATGTCGTCGGACTCAACTAAGAACGCGTTCAGCCTCGAATAAGCACTACAATTCAATGGGCCAAAGCATGTCTAATACCACAACATTCTTCAGTTTAACCTGCCGTTTGGGCTGTTCCTCATGTAAATCTTACGTTTGCATCATCTTTTGTTTTGTTTTGATTTTTTTTTGGTTTTGTTGTTGTTGTTAATGTTTTCTGCTTGTTTGCTATACTTGTTTGCATGAACTACAAGTGCAATATATGTAAAGTTACGAGAGGCTGATACATTGCACATGCAAATCGTGTAAAGATCTAAAGGTTTTGTTAAAGGCACTGCGCAAAGTAGGAGTCACATGAGGCATCACCCAAACCGGAAACTGTAATTCTGGTATTTTCCACTTTTGCCAATTGGACTTAAGCTATCCAGTAAACAAAGAGTTTGGGGTGGAAATTCATACTTTGCCTTCCGGAAGTCTTTTTGTAAAGTTCCATGTTCTGGCATCTTTCTAATATCCTCCCAATCACGCTCTGAAAAATAAAGGGACACTTTTTACAAATGTGTACTTAAACAATGGACTGAATGTAAGCAGAGAGGGTTGCGTGGCTGATTGGTCACCACATCGCGCTCGAGGGCAAGAGCAGTAGACTACTCCCATATAAAAACAACAGAGGAGCTTGTCCGAAACTTGCGAAAGCACACCCAAAAAGGTATAACAATAACATTCGTCAACTGACGGTGACAGTTTTTCAAAAAAGATAAAGACTATTCAGTTAACTAACAAAAACCTTCTTTAATTTTCTAGCTAGATACCCGAAAATGCATCCCTTCACCTCTTGTAGCTGTTACTTTAGCTCAACTCCTTTAGCGGTACCAACACACAAAATTTAATCCCACCCCACCCCCTCAGTCTGAGTGGAATGATGGGCACTCCCGTTTATTGTTCACAGTATCGGGAAGAAGCCTCCAAGGGTACAAAGATGCAAGGCGGTTTCAGTTCTGATTTGTCCAACAGCTGAACCTGTTTCTTGCCACTCTCTAAGATAACTGATTTTCCTCCTGCGTTTTCAATCATTAATTGTGACCTCTCACGAAAAAACGTTCACTAACGACTATCCGTGAAACGTTAGAAACCAGAAGCGTTACCCAGCGCTGGGTGTATAATTCAAGCATGTATTTCATGAATCCTTACCTTGTGGAAATCCCATCACATTGAATATTCTATCCAGCTGCTCATGGTGATAAGGATTGCTGGTTTTGATGTCCTCTTGACGACAGTGAAATATAGGTTCACAAGTCAAGAGCTCTGCAAAAATACATCCTATAGCCCATATATCTAGGAAATATACAAAAAATTGTATGTACTCCATATTAAAAGAGTAAAATATAATGCAGTCTAGCAGTAACAAATACGGTAAATTACATGTGGTAACAAATGGAGTCAATGAATCTGTGGACAATTCACTTACTCCCAAAGAATGAAGTTCATACAATTTCAACTTTCATAATAATTAGATACACCAATAATGCCGACACTCTGGTATTTGCACTACACATGAGAAGGGAGAAGGGAAGGAGGGAGGGGTGTTTAGGTGTTGACCGTTGGGCATGAAATTTTGCCAAAGCATAGGCACTAACGAACACATGCAATTGGTGACCACATCCCGAAAATAAGATTCCAAATTGGCACCTAGAATTTTAATCTTGAAGCCCCTGAGACTTTCTCAAAAGTGTCAAGTTACATAAATAATAGTTATACAGTAACTGTAAACTGTATTGTAACTGTTACAATAATAAAGATGCATGTGTAATGGTGATTTACTGGAAACACATCCAATAATCTGTAAGTTGCACTGATTTCCAAAATAACAGTAGGTTTTAGTTTATGAGAAGACCAATAGTAAATGTAAGTATACACTTTATTATAACAACCAAATTGCTAATTTTGCATGTGATGTCATTTTCATGTACAATCTTCGAGAAAAATTTCCTTGTTCAGAATTGATCACCAACATGGCCACCTTATCAAACCCCCCCCCCAAAAAAAGGTTAAAGGCTTGTTTATAGTGGAAATTGCACTTAGCTTGTCCAGCTAATTTACAGGCACTCCACTCAAATATTTAGAAACAAATAATTCAAATACAACATAACAGGATTAAAAACCCCAACCGGCAGAAGGCAACCAGTTGGCTATTTACAAGCGTGGCCGAGAATTTGAACTCGGGACGACCGAACACAAATCCAGCAAGTGGCCAGAGCGGGACTCGAAGCCGGGACTGCCGGATTGCGAGTCTGACACACTGACCACTCAGCCACGCTGCCTCCAAGAAGTGAAGAATAAAGACAAAAGCTAAGCCACATGGCATGAAAGCCATATGTGCTTTACCTATTGCTTTGGTGTAATGTCTGGCACCAAGCAGTAATTCAGGAGCTCTGTACCAAAATGTTACCACCACCGGATCCAGATCAGCAAGGGGCTTTAAAGGTGCATTGAATAACCTTGCAAACCCCATATCAGCTGGTGACAAAGCAAAGCAAAACAATTAATGTATCACTGAAATACAGTCATACTCATACAGTGTTTAGCACACCATATATCAACTTTTACTAAAATCCAACTACTGGTCTATTATCAATGCTGCATTCTGATTGGTTGAGCTACTACTAGGCTATATGTTATAGCCCACTAGTAGTGAAAAGCGCCGGATTTTTGGTGGCAAAAAAGGATTAAAGTCTAGCTTTAACTAGCTAAAATTTCTGTATTCTCAATATTTTTGACCAACTGCTTGGATTTTTCCTCTGGCCCTCAGGCCGAAGGCCTCATGGGCTATTGACTCAGAGCCCATTCAGGCTCGAGGAATAATTGTTAAATAACAGTCTCTTCTAGATCTAGATCTTCCCACACACATTGAATTATGAAGTTGGATGTAATTTTTTTTTACATTTGAGATCAATTGTACAAAATCATACATAATACATGTACCATTATATAATATCAAAAGCCCTAAATTGAACATGGCACCATACAGAATTAATGTGCTGACAATACAATACATGTAAGTAAAAGTTGAGCTAAAAGGACACACACACTACAGATGTATCAGAGTATCAGATACAGCTGTAGTACAAAATTGTAAATGACCATTTGATTTAAACTTAAAATAATGAAAGATTCTTGTAACTCTAGTTGCCAGTGTTAATTAATGTAAATACACTGTTGTCTGTACTTGAAGACAGTCACTTACCAATCTTTACTCTACCCTTTTCCTGGCCCTCACCCATAACAAGTATATTGGCTGGTTTCTGGGGGAAATAAATTTTCATGTTTAATTAATCAGTGCTATTTTAAGGAGCGGTTAGATACTGGTAACTCATTTATGGTGGAAGGGTTAGTCATGATTAACTCATCAAGCATTCTTTAGCTCTGGAGGGTGGGATTGCAAAGGACACCACAGATCCACATTAATTGATAAACATTTTAAGATAAAAAAAGGATAAGGTCCACACGTGCCAAAGGTCCAAACAGCCAGAGCTTATCCCGCTTTCTTTAGCATGAAGCATGCCTAGGAGTATTGCTACTCCCCCCTGGATGGGATGCTAGTCCATTGCAGGTTACCCCCATGCAGTATGTCACTGGTACCCATTTATACACCTGAGTGAAGAGAGACAAAGTGGAGTAAAGCTCCTTGTCTAAGGAGACAATGCGACAGGCGAGGCTTGAAACCCGGACCTCCAGATCCAGAGTTCAAGTTTTAACTCCTGTTAAAATATTCAACTCTTTTTAAGTAACAAAAGATATCATAAAGAGATATGTATTGTTTAAAGCTTGGCTCAGCACCTGGAGAGTTAAATCATACACCATAAATGATCTAATAAACGCCTGGGGCGTTTATTTAATTTTAGGGGTCCAAGAATAGATGGGAGGCGTTTAAAAGAGAGAGGCATTTATTCTCGTAACTTATTTCAATGAACTCAACATAACTATATACAGTATGCTTTCGGCTAAAAACGTTTTTGTGTTAACAGAATCTCGACTGCGGACCTGACGGCTTATCTGGAAACTGAAAATGACATAATACACAGACTGATGTTAATCAAGCAATGAAATTAATAAATTGATTGATTTTGCTCTATTTCGCCATTTCCTAGTATTTGGGGGCAATTTTCAAGGGGGGCATTTATTAGACAGGGGGGGCGCTTATTAGGGAGGGGAGTTTAATACTAACTTAACAACGTAAGGGAGGCGTTTATTTGAGAGTGGACGTTTGTTAGAACAAAGCAACCTACCAAGTCTCTATGAAGTACCCAGTTAGAGTGAAGATAATGAATCCCATCTAAAATTTGATAAAGTAGAGATTTCACCATTCCTTTAGGGACAGGAACTGCCTTCTTCTGAGCCTTGGAAGCTCTGTGGTACTTGATTATATGCTAGAAAAAATATTTAAGCATAAAAATTGATAATATTTGTAATTATTAAAAACTGAACCATTGGATAATGCAATTCTAGTGCTCGGATTGGCTTAGCCATTATATGAGCCATTATACCATGCTTTCCAAATATGGTAACTGTACGCGTCTGCTCAAAGTCAAAAGCAAGCCGAAAATCAGTTGTCTTTACAAATAAAGTTGGGAAGAATTCTCGATATTTTGTGGGCATTTTTCATAAAAAAAATACGCTTGTTGGATATGAGATGATTATAGCCAACTCGGCACTATGCACCTCATTGGCTATCTACCATCTCATACCCAATGTGCACTCATGGAATAATTGTTAAATATTTGGGAATTGTTGACACAAATACTTTGCACACAAAATTTTGCCTGTACATGTATAGTGTATTTTTTTATCCTCATGCTGAGAAAACAAAGTTAGTTTAATTACAGTTAATCATAAGATTTGTGTCAAAACACTGGTAGAGAGAAAACTCTTAAGCTTTGCAAGAGCCTTCATGATAGGTTGATCATGTCACATGACTTAGGTCTGGTCCAGATCACTGTAAGGTTGTTTCTCCTCATCTCCTTCATCTCTTTTCAAATAAGAGAAGGACTGTGGGCTTTAACTTTAAATTAGGTATGTTTCCCACACAACAAGATTGGCATAGTAAATTTAGTTTGATAATATTAATGATTTTTGCTTAGATTTGCATGCACACATCTCAAATCTACAAGGACTCAAAATGGAAATATATTGTACAAATATAGTCTTGATGAGGCACCTTCACTCATACAGAAAAACAATTTCTTAGTAAAGAAACACCTTCTTAGTTTCTTTCTTGGGCCATTAATTTTGTTGGAACATTTGTAATCTTTTTATTTTTATTATTATTTCAGATAATTTACTGTAGATTCAAGCGAGAATAATACAGAAAATAACTTAAAAAGATTATTTTTCTCTTGTTCTACAAGTACATTCCACATTTGGTGCATACATTTGTCATGTTATGTAAACTTGTCATTTTGATCATGCATTCAGTTTGTATTTTTTTTCCTCTCTAAAGTGACAGTCCCCTAAAAGTAACAAAATTAAGCCAATAACAGGACACAAGCAAGGAGGTTTCTCCGTACCTAACATGATATTTTTAAATGTTCAACTCACCCATAGATCATGCTCTGCAAAATCAAACAAGAGCCAGACTTTGCGATCTGCATGTGATAGGAAGACACGTTGTAAGGCAATCACATTAGGATGCTTCAGCTCTCGTAGAAGCTAGAAGAATTTGAATGAATAAAATACAAAATAATGATTCATTGCAGTATTAAACTCATGAAAAAAAGGCCTAGAACTAAAGAAGTACAGAAATAAATGATAAAAAGGTATCTCCAATCTTGCCGATATTAATTTTGCTTTTAACTTTAGAACCTGCGAGTTTCTGTACACGGTGACTTAAATATTAAATCCATGTTAATCAGCAAAGAAAGATGCCTAAACAAGAAATACAGTACGTAGATTTCTTGCATTTTCAAATATTCCTTTAAATGTTGAGTCACTCTAATTAATTTAGCTACAGGTTCTTTGTGTTGTCTCTTGGAATCTGTTAATTATTTTGTGGAGAGGAACATTGCATGAGTAACCACCCAAAAAATAGCCACATAAAGCTGTAGGAGACTGAGCACTGTGAATATGAAAGGAGTTCAGTTAAATTACTTAGGCAGTGTGATCCATCAATTTTCATTTAACAACTTATAGGTTGCACTTATTTATGGACTTTAGTAAGTTTAATGTACAACATGTGCAGAGAATGTAAATAAAAATACAACGTGTCTTATCTTGTTAATTTTGAGATACATTTTTAGATAAAGAGTGAGAAACACATACCAATCAATCAAAATGTTCTATTTCCAGAGAAGTACCATGAAATCCTTTTCAAACAAATCAAGCATTTGGGCTTGATGAAGCTTAATTAAGTCTTAAATGAGCTAATTACAATGAATTTTGTACATACTGCTATCTCACGGCAAGCTGACATGGAAATCCCTGTTCCCTCGATCTGCTTGAGGGCGAAATATTTTCCATTCGGACTTGAATGAGAAAGAGACCAAAACTACTTAGTATCAACTGAATCTACATGAAAATGTAAACAATGCGAGGAACGAAGGAAAATATTATCTTCTCGCGCTTCAAAACTAACCAATCTTTTTGTTTTGCTTTGTAAACGTGTCCATAAGTACCACGGCCTACTTTGCAGCCTTCAAAGTCGAATTTGTCTTCTACTCTTTCTCTTTGCTCATTTGATTTCAACTTAAACTCAAAATCCATCACAAACTAGACAAAGACTCCTTCATTGAAAGACAGCCATGTTGAAATGACACAAAGCCTCGTATTGGTGCACAAGCACTGGTTCGTCCCCAGGATCTTCTCGTTTTCCAATATGGCCGCGTAAACGAGAAGACACTGAGGACGATCGAGGTTGAACAACGTTTAAAAAACGAGGAAATAGTCACCGTTGAAGTGTCACCATAAGAATTAAGAAAAGAAAGAGGGCCAATTTTGATGCTTTAGAGGGAGCCAGGTCTTACACATAATTTTGTTTGGATCTTAGCAAAGCAAAGCGTGGAGAAATTGTTTGTTTTGTGAGGACTATGAAGATATTAATTTTATCCTCATCAACTCATTTTTGCCAGCTATTATTATTATTATTATTATTTTATTTCTGAACCACGTTCTCATTACCATTTGAAAAAGGCCAATTAAGTTGAAGCCAAACCTCTTCCTCCCCCTACATTTTAGACTTAATGTCACCACCCCTCCCCCGACACACACCGTTAGTCTCATATACCCGGAAATAGTTATCTGTTTCTGAGAAGGCTCTGTCGTTGCGAGCAAAATGTTTGCTCTAAGCTCACGCGAAACACTGACCCACGAAATAAACCAGAAGTATTATTCTGTCAAAGAAAGAGACCAAACGTCGAGGAAGAAGAAAGCGTGGTGCGAAAGTTTAGAATGCTGCATTAAAGAACTCTACCCTTCATCTCGCTTGGTTCTTGTAGGATCCTCAGCAAGTGGATTTGCAATCGAGGGCTGCGATGTTGATTTGACTCTCGTTCGCCAAGGAAGGCAAGTGTTTTACCGGTTGGATTCGGACGTTGAGGTCCTTCGAAAAATTCGAGACAGATTGGCGACAAGGAGGAGCAGCGTTATAACGGAGGTATATTCTATTTTAATTTCATTCACGTTCGATCCGGTGACAACAAGACCTGACAAACTGTCGTCAGAACAGATTTTCGATCACTGCTTAAGCTATGAATATGATTGTCTAATGAGTAGCTGTGAGAAAAATATACTAAAAATACTAAAAACTAAAATCATGCGAAATGTTTCCAGCATTAATTTCGGCATTGTCAGCCTGATTTTCAGTGTTATGGGTCACGAAATTATTACAACCTATTCCCTCAAACAAATTCCCTAGGTATTACTTGACAAAACCGAGTGTTTTTTTATTACTATCATTATTTGAAAAAATCAAATAATATATATTTGCCAAAGTATACCCGAACAATCGATCAGGCATAGAATCGATTTCTGTTTCGTCGCCTTAAGACGCAGTTGCGTTGATTCTACGTTTCAGTACATGCAGGTATAGCTTGTAAGGGATTCTGAACAAAAATCCCAGTGCACTGTTAAAAATGCACGACCCTTTTATTATGATTTACTACGTTTCAAATACGTTATTCTCCTTGAATAGAATATTCACAGCGATTTAAAAAGGCTTTAGTACTTCCGCCGGGTGTCAGTGCTGAAATTAAGTTTAGCACTAGCCCTAGATTGGGTGCTAAGACTCCAATTCCTTTACGAAAGTTATCGAATCTCTGAACTAAGGTATATATTTAGAGTACCAACTGGCACCTAAACTGGAATGGGTGGGAAATGAAAGGGGTGCTTGCAACCGAAAAGCCGGGAAGATTATTTTCCATGTAATTGGCGATTTCCTTATAACTGGAACGTGGAATAAGGGTTTTATATTATTCATTAAAAACAGTGTTATAATCAGTTAAAAGACAGTTCAGAGGACCCTGTGAATAAAGCTTAACATGTTTAACAAACTTGCTTTAAAGCCAAATTCAATTTCGCAAACCTGCCTGGGCATACTGAATTTCTGTCACTTAAACATGACATCATTGCGACTTAAAGAGACTTATATTAGGCCCATCCAGTTCATGGTTCAAACTTCGAGTTTCTTGTACATAAATTAATACCTATTTAGGTCGACCGAAATGACACAAGTTCGACCGTTGATTCAGACTTGAAACTTATAATTTAGTAATCAATGTATTCAGTTTCACGATGTTCAAGGCATGGTTTAAAATGCTTACAAGTAAGAAGAAATTTTTAAGTCATTTATGCGTTAGGTTTGGCACATGAGAAGTTCGATGTTTGAAACAAAGTCACTCCACAGTCAAAATTCCAATGTTGACCACTCGATCTTCATTCATGGGACGACCCAAATTAGACTTGTCGTACTTTATTGATTGAAACGTCGATCTCTCATGTACTTAATTGAAGCCGAGGGATTGGGTTTGGTATGTTTGAACTGGGCCTTAGGTATTTCATCTGATCACTTTTTCACTGATTTAACGTCGGTGATCATGTTTTTGAGTTTAGGAACATAAGTTCAGGACAACATTTTAATAACTTTCTACGATAGTTAAAGATAAGCTATCCCATGCTCTCTCTCCTTAGCTTATCAGTGGAGCAGTTGTCCCTATATTGAAGATGAATGACAAGCGCGAGGGACTGGAAGGAGACATCAGCGTTGACATAACGAATTCCATATTCAACACCTATCTGCAGAAATGTTATGGTAGCCTAGATCACAGGGTCACTCCTCTGATTGTGATCATCAAGTACTGGGCCAAAATGTCCAGAATCACCGATGCACGTGTCCACAAGTTATCTGGTTAGTAGTTTTTTTTTTTTTTTCAAAAATATTTCTTTTCAATATCAAGTAATCCTGTCAAAAGCATGCCGTAAAAGCACCTATGACATAAGGCCTCAGAACCGTAAGGGGACTAGGAAAAATCGTCTGAGAAAACTGTATATTAAGCGGGGCGGACAGGTTACAAAGTATCTTCCAGTGTTTTGAGTAAAGCGAACCTGTCAGTTTAGGGGACATCTCTATTGAGGAGCAGATACCAGGGATGGTCTCGTCGTTGCGGAATAAACCTCTGTAAGGCAGAAAGTTGGTTCTGGTCCTTTGTTGTCGTTCGTCTAGGGGAAGTTTGAGTTGATTTTTGCAACTGGGAGACGAACGAGGAACCGATGAATTCAAGTCGGCATGAAATGCTGAATTTATTTGTTTTATTTTGTTTACTTTTACCTTTCTAGGCTTTGCCGTGGTGCTGTTGGTTATTTACTATTTACAAACCGGTTGCAGTCCACAGGTCATTCCATCGCTACAATCAGCCGACCCGATCAATTTCAGTACATCGTTAAGCGCCGAAACTATAGCCGATAAGCTGGTCAGCGGCTACCTTCCATCAGTCGTTACTTCGTATAGATCATCAAACCAACAGTCCCTTGGAAGTCTTCTCGTTGGCTTTTTTGATTATTATTCCACCTTTAATTGGAATAGAGTACTATCTGTTCGTCAGGCCAGCACCAGGGCTGTACCATTCGACAAAAAATGGACACGCCCGTACATTCGCATCGAAGATCCCTTTGACGGAAGAAACGTGACTCGAGCAGTGTACCAGTTTGGACCGTTTAGCGACATAAAGCAGGCAATAACGAGAGCAAAACAAAGGCTAGCATATGAGCGATGCCATTTAACTGAAATTTTATGAAAATTAGTTTAAAACTTTCATCTCTCGAAAGTGTCATGCACGCAACATTTGAATCTAATGATGGGTTCAATTCAATCTTAAGACTAATATAATTTTTTTTGGATATACTTTTTAATGGAAATACCTTGCAAAGCTCAATCTTCAGTTTGGTAATTGATCTCTTAGCATAATCATTGCCTTCAGTAAATTAGCTCTACTGGCAAGTCATGTATCCGAAGCCAGTAAAAAATATACCGAAGTATTTGGGGAAAATCCTCTCAGATCAAGGACGGAAACCAACTACAGTCAACTCTCCTTTTGTTTCTTAGTCAATTACTGTTTGTCTGTTTCAAAGCCTCTCTCGTAAGTGGTCGTTCGCGACCACTACTTTAGTCTCTTTCGCGACCACGACCAGTTTTATTTTAGGCCCGGAAACTTGACATATTCCTTTGTTTTCTCTTTCCGGTAAGCGACCACCCGGCATGATCACGTAAACTATGATTGTCGCTGTACAGATGGCCCATGTTTTGGAGTTAAAAGATGAAGAAGAGAAGACGGTACCGGTAGAGAAAATAATAATGACACTTGTGAGAGCGAAGAATGACTCCAGCGCCCGATGCACCAAACGGGAAGACTAACTACATGAAAATATACAAAAACTTGCATGTATACAGTTGGAAAACACGTCCAAAAGAGGCACAGCCTAATTTTCTACAAACCTCGAGAAAACCGGTAATAATGAACAATTATTAGACGAGGTTGAGCAAAATATCGTGATTTGTCAGTGGCGAGCAGATCGGCTGAGGCAAATAATTGGTCTGCGAGGCACTGACAAATCACGATATTTTGCGATTATCGAGTTCAATAATTGTTTTACGATCCGGTCACCGAGTTTGTTTTTTAAGGAATATCTTCGGGAAGCGAAGCGATCTGCCATTTTCACGCAAGAGAGATCGTAAGAAGGAGAAAAGCGTGGTTTCATTTACGCATGAGCAGAATATTATCTGCAGCCAAACAAAATTGCGCATGAGCAGACCCTTATTTGTAGGCAGTTATTTGCAGGTCACGATGGGTGAGATCTCGGTCAATGAAAAGGAAGAAAAATTTGCAACGAATGATAATTTTAATTATTTTATCACGGTTTTGACGAACAAAATGTTAGTATTAGCGGTAAAACTGTCGAGGCTTGATGTTTCAAGTACCCAGCTCAAACGAGGGATTAATTTTCCATTCAAATTTATTTCAGACAACCAGTGTCAAGAAGCCGTATTTGAGAATCGTACAAAAAAAGCGGGGATAAAAAGCTCACAGTGGAGAAAGGAAATATTAATTTTCAGAGTAAAGCAAGTTGTTTAAAAAAAATGTTATTTTCATCCAAGGTAATTTTCAGTCAGGTCTTTGAAAAAGCGAACTGCAACGCTTTTAAAATTGTTATGTAAAACGGTTAATGTTAACCATTAAAATACAACTGGGAAACAAACGTTACTGGTTAATAGTAAAAACCTTTACTTCTTTTTGTGAGGAAACACTTGTCTTCCACTTATAAGGCTTAATAAAGCTTAGAAATATGAAATCTTTTGAAATACTAACCTTTTTCAGGGTGAAACAACCTTTAAGTTTTTATATTGTAGTATGGCTTTTTTTAATAATATGGATAGCTATAGGGAATACTGAAATCAGCTCTGAATTAAACATTAACACTGTTCCCAAAGAAAAATAGAAGCTGATTATTAAAAAAAAAAAAAAATCAGCAACATCCAAGGCTTTTGTTTATTTAGCCTGAGAGGTAAGTGGATAAGGGCTTGAAAAAAAATCATATTAAAAGTCATATTATGTCGTTGTTGAAAACAAAATCCATACCCAAACAAGTACACGTATATGTTTTATTAGTAAAATCCAACTAGCGGTCTATTATCAATGCTGCGTTCTGATTGGTTGAGCTACTACTAGGCTATATGTTATAGCCCACTAGTAGCGAAAAGCTCCGGCCCTGAAAACCAAAACAATGGCGGCTGAATCGCGTTTTGCTAGCTTAAGTTGTTTTGTCTCGATATTTTTGACCAGCTAGTTGGATTTTACTAAAACAATTATTCCTCTCGCCCCTATGGCCTCTGAGTCAATAGCCCATTCCGGCTCGAGCAATATTTGTTGATTAATTTTATTTAGACTACATCTTGGTAAGGTTTATTATCAACGGATACATTGTTACATTGGATCTCCAAAAACCTGAATACAATAATAGCTCTCATCAAGTCCATCTTTTGTTTGAAAATCAATGTGATTCAGATATAGACCCCTTCAGAGAAGAACGCTAACCAATACTAAAACACATGACTCTGTAGCTAATACATGTAGTGACCCTTAAACACGGTTAATTTGTGATACATTACTTGAGCGAAACAGTTCTCAACACAAACTAGTCTGTCGAGTGGAACATTACACACCATGTGCGTATACTTGCTCGGCCGGCGCCAGCTCCGAATGTAGTTATTTAATTTCAGCCATTTTTAATCAAAACGTATAGCTGGAAAATTACAGCACTCACTCTGTAACTATGCCTATGCCACAATAGACCCCTTTACGGTTGTGGGAGCATGCTGGGTAATCAGGACAAGATGGCGGGGAATTCAAAAGTTTGTATGGGAGTTTAAAGTCAACTAATGCTTCCTGATTGATTATATTCGTCACTTTTTCTTTGCTAACTTTAACTAATGAACTTAAAGAAACTATACACTAAACGTGGAGTGCATAGTCCTTTGTCGCTTTTTAGAAAATTTGACGGCTTCCATACATTATCTGTAATTTTTGTGTAGTCGGATTACACAAAATGTATGGAAGAACTCAGGTTTTCTAAAAAGTAACAAGGGACTGCTATACGCACTCCAGATTTAGTGCGTAGTTTCTTTAAGCTCATTAGTTGCAGTTTTCAAGGGGAAAGTGACAAATATATTCAATTAGCAAGAATTAAATGACTTTGTATTCTCATACAAACTTTTTTTTTTCCACCATCTTGTCCTGATTACCTAGCATGCCCTCACAACCGTAAAGGGTTCTATTTTATCCTTAAAAGATCTGTCGATCGTAGTTATGAATAGAAACAAACACTAAAAACTTCGAAAAAAAACAACATGCAGGCAAACAAACCCTACATTTCGGCTGGTTTGCGCCACACTTTTTTCGCCATCGTTTCGTCATAAATTTTCACCATGATGATGGAACCATCCAAAGCCATCTTGGTACACGAACCAACCAATCGGCGATAAGAAATCTGCCCTCGTGACATACGTTTCCTATCCAGTCTTTCTATTATCCATGAAAGAGGAGAGTCACACATCACTTGCGAAGTTACTGTGATAAATACGTTTTTATTATATATCGGCCAATCAGAGACGGTTTTTTTTATTCTTCCAGAGGTTAGTGATCCTTGGTGCTGTCCAAAAGGGTCGCAGCCTCTGGGAACGAGATTGAGCTTGAAGCGTTCTCGCTTGCGCCAGATCAGATACGCATGTGCCACTCGTCCTAGACTACAAGGTTTTAAACACAGTTTGCGATTTTTAATCCACAACGAGTTTCTTTTTCAGTGAACATGAAACCAAACTGATATTTCATACCAGACAAGAATTTCATTCGGCTTCAAACCGCAATGAATTCATTCCGTAATTAAATGAATTCATTCCGGAATGACTTATACGGGAGACGGAATCAACTCGTTCCAGAATGAGAGTCACGATCATTCCGGTATCGTGTGAATACTAAGTCTTTAAGAGACTACTAGAGGTCTGGATCAATAAGAACGATCCAGCATGATGGTTATCATAGCTACAAGATCTTACAAGAAATGTGTCAGTTCTTTTTGTCGAAAAAAAGAGGCTCAGTGAAGTGAAAACAGGAATTCAGCAAACTGTCCTTTCTCGACACAAGTGGCATTCTTATAACTGGAAAAATGAAATTTCACTTTAGAATTATTTACAATGGGCTGTCCACCCTGCCCATACCAGCTTGATGGCCCACGTATGTCTGCCTTAAACAAGTAGTTCATACTTGCTTTTAGAGCGATCGGAGGCTTTAACGCAATCTCGAAGCCGTGATATTCACCTAGTTCACCCTGCTTCACGTTACTACTATAATTCCTTAGGTTACCATCAAAGATAACTTCTTCCATGGCCGTTATGGTTAGGCTCGCTACATATTCTGCGTTATAGCTGCCAAAAAATCGCACCGCATGCAGCTTTATGCTTGTGTCTACAGCAAGATATATCCAATCATAACATTTAGAAGAATGCTTCCAGCCATTATTGAAAACCACCGATTTAAACCTAGAGACCTGTCTTTTAAGAAGGGAACCTCGCTTTGACTCTAGAAATTCAACGGTAGTGTTCAATACAGAGTTGAAATATTTCACCATATCTTTCACTTCTTTGAGAGTAAGCAAGTCAGAGTCGAGGACGACATCAGCAAACTCCTTTTGTTCCATCGCAGGGAAGTGGATTTTCTGAATGATCAATTCCCCGAGAATTCTCCTTTTTACGGATCCCTCAGCTACGAGGCCTTGTTTCTCACATTCCCTAACAGCCCAGCGGTCGACAGCTTTGAATAATTCTATTTCCTTGATATTCAGCAACTCATTAGACACTAATTCCTCAAGTACTGACCTTTGGATTGCCACAAAACCATCCGATTTCACAGCTTCCTCCGTTTCTTTTTCGATCACTTTCCAGCAATGATGCAACAAATCCACTTCTTCATACTTCTGTGCTTCTGGTAATACGTTAAACACGTTTGAGGCGTCCAGATTACCTTTGAGGTAGACAGAGCATTTGTCGGCGAGCGAAGGCAGCATGTATTTCTTCGCCAAATACATCAATTGCATGACATTGTCAGGGGTCAACTTCGCTTCATCACTGTAAATGAAACGCAGACACTCCAACAGGCCCTCATAATCACAATCAGTGATCTCGACGACATCTTTAGTCTCCGCCAATTCACCGTAAAACATGGCATAAAACACTGGACTGCTGATCGCTAACACGAACTTGTGAGCTGGAATAGTCTTGCTTTCACTTCCGGCTTGGAAATTGCAAACAGCGAACTTCACATCGCTCAATATTTCTTGGTTGAAGATGGCCTGACATCTTTCTCTGACTGTACCTTTACCTGTTTTTTGCCAATAATCGTCTCTGTTTGCTTGGACGGACATGACTAGTTACTGTTAAGAACGTGAGGTGCCGAATGCTTGCTCGTTTGGCTTTCTAGTTCTAGTTGTATCATACCCCGAGTCCAACATCGTCCCCAGGGTCTTCTCGTTGAAAACGAGAAGACCCTGGGGACGAGACCAGGTTAAGTAGAGTCTTCTGGCTGACAAAAAAAGGGTTTAAATCGCAGGCTCAGGTATTACTCAGAGCCTTTGCCTTGCGCACTGAGAAAGAAAAGAGTGCACAGAAATGGCCACTCTCTAACGAAAAGATTTTCACTAATAGAGGGTCAAAATGGGGTGGTAGCTTTGACGGTTGACGGACCATTACACGGGCATTCGACGGACCGTTAGGAAAAACGTATGCAGGGGCGGCCAAAGTACAGTGGAACCCCGTTAGTGCGACCCGACCGTTGGGCCAGAAAATCCTGGTCGTAATAACGAGGTGGTAGCATTATCGAAGTCTTCAAAATTATAAAATGACTCAGTGATTTTTTACGCTTGGGTCGAAAGAATATGGTCGTAATAACGAGGTGATCAAAAACGGGTGTTGGTAAGGTGGGATTCCACTGTACAAAAAAAAAATATTCGCGTAAGGTAAAATTAAATGGAAAAAAATCCATGCACGCAAATTCACCCTAAAAACATTCATGCGATTGCCTAAAAAAAATCATGCAAGGTAAATGTTTACGGAAAACAATTCATCCGGCTCGAAAATTCCCCACTTCTCCCTTAACTTTTCTAATGATCCGTCCCTAAGTGGAAATTTAGTCCAAAAGTTAAAGTAAAGAGTGCGAGGGTTATTTTTCAGCAGAGCTTCTCTGTTTGTTACACCATACTGATGAGCTACGATAATAGCGAAACAGCTGGCTAGGACTACAATCCTGCTCTGTTTTGAGTTCTTTTGATGTCGTGTTGATGTCTTGCAAAGTTGATTTTCGCGTAGTACGGTCAGCATTGTGGTATTCTGTTTGTAGAATTTATTATATATGTCTTCTTAACACCTTTCCTTCATTTATTTTTTTAAAAGATAACTATAAGATGAAAATAAAGAACAGTGTCAATTTCTTTTGGGACATATATTTTTTGTAAGAATCGATTTAGAATCGATTCTCAGTGATGTGTAATCATTGTGAATTATATATAACATATAAATAAATTAATTAATTCATAGAAACTAATAAATTTAAAAACAAAAGTCAACGATATAAAAGAAACTTCACGTATCGATGTTAATTTCTTATCTTTTGATAATGATAACATGAAGCCATCGAAACGCCAAGTTTCTTTTATATCGTTGACTTTTGTTTTTAAAAAAGATATTTTGCGTCATCATTAGAGCCATCCTTCGAATTCGTATTCAGGCAAGGTCCACTCTTTCGCGTTCATCAGCAGCAGTCGTTTCCGTCATTAGAGTCTTACAATTAAGGCTGGCTTCCCTAAATATCAAAATATGTGAAGTGTTCGCTTCCTGAGGTCGTTCGCGGTCCATTCGCTTCTCTTCCTCTCCCTAGAGAAGAGGAGGAGAAGGGACTGCAAGCGAACAAAATCGGACGTCTGAGAATCAGGCTACAGACAGTGGACTACTGCCGTTCTTTTCCGTAGCACGATCAAGAATCTAGTGGTCTAAGTAGGATAGAGGGGTTTTCAATTGTTAATATTCAATTAATTGAAGATTTAATAGCTTTCCAGACAACATGGCCTTGTAAAACTATCAGTTTTATCACGTTGAGTGCGTAAGAGACCATCTCTCACCCATGGGTACCCAATCAGAACACAGGATTTTAATTAAAATTACTGAGAATTTCTGTTTGCGTGATGGAACACAACTTATATTCAAATCACGTGTCCCGTCACTGTTTTCGGATATTTGCGGTGATCATGAGTTCTTAATGTTAAAAAAGTCTCAATTGAAACAGCTTGAGCTCAAAATTGACAAAGCTTTCCTGATCCACGTTTGTCCAAAATTTGGATAACGCCGCTATCCAAGGGACAAAACACTGACGTTGTAAATATATGAAAATCATATATATATATATATATATATAAATACTTGTATTCTGGGTAGAACGTATTCCGTAGAGCGCTCAATTCATTTAATTGAAAAGCATTGACTATTAATAATCACAGGAGTTCAGGCTTCAGGAGTAATCATTGATCGTTTATATCAAGTGTTAAAGAAAGCAATAAAGGTATCCACTGGATAGCACTCCCCAACTTTTGCAACGACAGGGGCAAAAAAGAGAAGACCCTGCATGGTTGCTTGCTTGTGTGATTATTTGCGTTTCTGTAGCGTTTTTGTGGCATATATTAAATAACTGTAAGTCTAGCCGAGTGTCATTCTCCTAATTGGATCAGATTTGAAGAGCATGTTCTTCTTTCATTGGATCTTCATCGCTGACCAATCAAATGGGCCCCATGTCTTTTCCCCCTCCCGCTTAAATTGTCAACGACTTTAAAAAAAAAATTGCTTAAGATATTATCAATCTTTATGAATCACCGCAGATATTCACACTTCTTACATCGACGTTGATGATCTAGCTCTAGATCTACTTCTATGGTAAATAAGCAGAAAAGGTATCATTAAACAAAATATATTTCTTCGTCCATAAACATCTTCAATGGTTCCGATTTATAGCTTTAAATAGATATCTAAAAAAACGATATATATAGTACGAAGTTTTTTCTTAGTTACAATTCTTGGAGATTTATGTACTACCTACCCATTTCTTATACATTTTGTAATAAAAAGAATGATTTTTTTTGTAATCAAAAACCCTCACTAAATTTATGCCATTAAATTATCAGTTTCATTTCAGCAGTTAGCTCAAAACAAGGAAAATTTTATTTCGCCATCTTAAGCTAAAACATCCTTTCCACTAATTTTGACTGTTTAGTACAATCCAGTGTAAGGCGTATATGTATTAACATGGCGTGGTTCGGATCAATTTCAGTTGCTTAGCACTTTCATTCAGACTTGGGCCAGTACTTACAGTTATTGAAATTGTGAAATAAGACTTTCAATGCATGAGGACAAAGGGCTTAGCTTAGAAAGCTTATCCATACACAGGTTATTCCGGGAAAAAAAATTGATCTTTGTTACTGTTGTTGACGGAATTAGAAAATTGTGGAAAAAAGCCGGTCTCAGTTTTTACAATTTTTCTCCCTTAACTACAGGTCAATAGAGTACATAGTATATAAAGTATCCACAGAATTTTATGCTTTAAGAGTCAATCCCGACCGATAAAATTACTCGGACCATCAGCTCTCCTTTCATCTCTTGGAAATTCGTGTTTAGGTCTCCCAAAAGCGATTGCAATTACGGATTCAGGTAAAATCCTTGGACTAGCCGCCTCAGCAAAGGGGGTCTGCTGAGAACTTTCAGACCAAACATAAAGCATTAAGTGCCGACCGTCTGATCCACAATAAGTTATATTCCTTTATGAAAGGAGCGATCCATTTATCCCTAGGTACCAGGTGATGACCCAAACGAACATACATAAATTGGGCAAATAATCTTTGATCAAAGACTCTTGCAACGTATAAATGTTTCCAACGCAAACTTCGTCACCGGGGCTTCCTCTGTTTCCCATTCATCAAGAGTCGCTTAAGGCGCAGTTGATTTTTAACCAGTACTTTTTCCATCTTCGTTCTGAAAACAGCTAAAAGCCTTTTTTTAAACTTTTTGAATCCGAACTGGACGCGGTTAGCTTGCTTAGCTGGCGAGAGAACGTTGAATATTTCATTCAACCAGAAAAACGGTTGCGAGGAACATGTGTAACAGGATCTTCTAGTAAAGTGCGGGCCAATTAGATCAAGATAAGTCTCCAGGGAATTAGCCGATCGCGTATCAGTCACGGAAGGTTTCAACAGAATAAATTTATAAGATTTATTTTGAATTTAAAACTCCAAGTCTGTAACTGATTTTATTTTGAGTTAAGTTTAACCGTAATGAAGGATGAGGCACATGGCGTTCGTTCAATGTTGCGACAGCTTCTTCAGTACCAGGTGCCATGGTTATTCACAGGTCACAGGACAATTTTTCGAACGGGTAAAAAAATTTGAGCGGACGACAACTTCGTTCTCACGGAACTGTTCAATACTCTTTAGCACTGTTCACTCGGAACGGATCTCTAACTTTTGTCAGTGGCTTTACCATCTGCCTGCGAAGACTTCTTCTTTACCAAATCCAAAATAGCGTCTCCCAGCACAGGCGTCCCAAGCTCACGTTACGAGTGCATGCAAATTAACTTTCTCACAAGAGAGTCGGTGTCGCGTTACAAGGAACCGTAGAGACTTTGTATGAGAAATAAAATACCGAGGTCTACGAACGCTAAATATCATTATTCCTACTTATTTTTCTATAAAATGAATAAAGGAGACTTGCCTTTCATGTATTCCTGTGTTTTTTGGTGTGAATTCATTTTGGCTCTTGTGAAAAAAATAATTTACATAACACACTCTTATCGTGAGTCTGGGACACCTGTGCTGGGAGAGGCTATTTTGGATTTGGTAAAGAAGAAGTCTGCCAGCTGAGTTACCACGCATCTATGCAATCACTCCTTTGCTGCACAGAACTGTTTAGATGGTTATGGTGTTCATTGCGCACCGGCTTTACAGCCATATGCATGGGGCTAAAAATCTCGTCTTGATTGTGGTGTTTAATTTTTGAACAACTAAGCGTTTAAATTTTCGTACGGTGAAGGTGCTTCCGATTGAACGCAACACCGAAAGGGTGCCGTGTAAACGTAGCCTTTTTTTCTTAAAAGCTGGAAAGTTGATCTTCTCGAGTGCGAAATCGAAGGATGTCCATCCTGGACACACCGGTAGCCAATCAGAACACAGAATTTTTGCAATATGGAAGCATATTTAATATTTAATATTTCAGTCTTGTGCGCTGTCATTGTCTTCGGATATTTGGTGCAATCATACGGAAGGTTATAGGTGCCATCCGACATCCAACATCCGACATCGGACGTCCGACATTCGAGATCCGACATCCGACA